TGATATAAATCTTGATTCAATTATTGGTAAACGTTTTTCACAATTAACTCATACAATAACATCAACACATTTAATTGAATCAATTGATTATTTAAATATTGAAAATAATTCTTCATCAAATTCAAATTGATTAAATACACAAGTAGGTAGTACAAAAATATTTTAGAAAATATTGATGAAAGTGAAGAGGATGAAAGAATAAAACGATTTGAATATGAAAATTTAATATTAAGAACTAGGAAAATCATCTATAAAGTATCGTATTCGTAGTCCGATTCAGAGGTTCATATTCGAATGCATAAAGTATTTCTTCCCTCGAAATGTAATGATGATGTTTTATGCAGACCAAATTTTGTTTCTTTATTATATATACCAACGTTGAGAGTATTTACGCATTTTTTCTATTTTAGTTTTATTCTTGTCCGGCAAAATCCAACCCTTCACTTCCTCGCAGTGCTAGACGTCAACGTCAACTTGACGGCTAAGATGGGCTCTGGTATGGGTCTTAGGGCTGGTCACCTGAGATACCTTTTTAAACGACTCTGAAAATAACAATAGAAGAATCCATTCCGAGCAACAGTCTCTCGTCTCATCGCCAGCATACGATGATTTCATTGAAATCTTCGCCCATGATAAGACAGTCAACTGTCTTCGGCAATGCAACGATGCGTCGAACCAAAAACACATCACAAAAACATCGCAATATCCACCTACAACGTTCGCACTCTCAAAAGAATGGGTTAACTACACCAACTAATTCATGAATACGACGACAACAATATAAATCGCGTAGTTGTACAAGAACATCGTTGGCAGACACAAGGAGCAACTCGGCATGGCGCTTCGAATACGCTTCAGCAAAAACAACAACAAGACAAAGTGGTGTCAGATTACTTATGAACCCTCGATTCTCGGCATTAATCTCTTCATCAGAAAAAATATCTGATCGAAACTTAATGGTACATTTCAAGGGCAGCTCTGAAATAACTATCATAGTTGCATACATTATAAAAAATGTGGAATCAAACCACACAAATACACGAAGTGAACATGGATTTATAACAAATCTGCGACAATCACAACGATAACCAGCAACAGCAATCCACTATCTGGCCTTTGCTGATGGCATAGTTCTGTTTGAAAGCAATTTCGACAGAGCACAAGCACAACTGATCACAACAGTGAAATAGGCTGATAAAGTAGGGTTACAAGTGAGGGTGTGGGTGTGTATGCCTTTTCTTCTGTCAAACACACACAAATACCCACCCACACACCCAGCCCACGACCACGCTCACCCTCAAGATAGTAGTTAGTTTGAGTACGAATTGATTTCTTAGTCTTGCTGATAATTGAGCTGTAGCTGCTTCAGGCATCGTGGCATTCCATTGCTGGTCATCTTCCAGCAATCTGTATAATCGACATGCCCCACGAAACGTTCCACAGACCGGATCATTTACAGTTCGCAGAGCTTCAAATGAAGTAGAATCTTTGACTGTATGCAGTAAGAGTTGTAGAAAAAAAACATTGGAAGTTAGTGGTATGTATGGTGTAGACACAACCCAGAGCGTCCGTTTCGTGAATACCTGCATAATTATCCACACGACTTTCTTGAATGCGCTGCTTAAAAAAATTTCCAGATGCATCCCATGTGTAATATTTTGGAACATTGCAGTACAGTATGTTTTTGGCGAAGTCATCTTTCTGACAGAGTAAGAAAAATGCTGTCAGTGTTGTCCTTACCGGTTCATTGACTCTCTCATGGACATTATCTTCCGTAAAATAGACGCGTTGACCATTTTCCAAATGTACGGCCAAATGAACTACGGTTGGATATCGTTCATGAATTGGAAAATTCAGGATTCGCCAGACTGCTTCATTACTGTTAATGTATCTGCCCAACTGGTACTGCTCAATTTCGTCGACTGCTGTTCCATCCTTTTTCAAACCAACACTGCCTGATCACTGCCCTTGTTGACATATTTGCAGATCTATTGGATTGACTTCACCGAATTGCAATATTCCACATTAATGTGGGCTTGAAAGATACGACTGAGTAATGGACAATATGGCACAATCCATTTATTGTCTATCTCAATTTTTTGAATGAAATTGTTAATTCTCACTGGGAGTTTAGTTTTGATATCACCATCTTCTCGGCTTCTCTTCTGTATAATGAATATCCATCGTCACCGGCTTCTGTATCACGCAGCAATTGTCGTGGATATCTTTTAGTGTATTTTTTATCCTCCATATATGAAGCATCAGGGTTCACAGCACCACATGAACCGTGGATCATATTTTTTCAGATTATTTCAAACAAACGCGGATCTTGTTGAGGATCAGGTAGTTCTGCACTGGAGACACTGTCTATATGATCCGATTTAATCTTGTTCTTTAGCCATATCAAAATATGCGCATGTGGTAGTCCTTTCTTTTATGATTCAATAGAATACATCCAACATCTTGTTGGCCCGAATACATGGCTCTTGGTAACAACGTCGATTAGCAATATGAGCTTTTGTCTGAACACTCTTGCTAACAGATCATGACGATCGGAAGGAACTTGATCAGGTAGCAGCTCTTCTTGAATCTCTTGCCACTTACGATTGCAGGTGAATGTCACAAAGAGATCAGACCTTCCGTAGTTTCTTACGTAGGTCATAGCATCTTGTGTGTACTCGTGCATGTGTCGTAGACTTCCAGTGAAAGTAGCTGGTAAAATAACTAATTTACCAACATTATTCGCATTTCCATCAATGGCTATCGCATCCTTCAGATGAATGTATTCATCCACTCTGAGTGCTTTCTGATTATGGCGTAGAGAAGATAATCGCTAACTTTCGATCCTTGCGTACATGTCAACCACAAACGGATGGAAAAGTTGTCGACAGCGTAAGATATGATTGATATATCCAGTCCCATTATTATTCTGTAAGCATAGAAATCCATCGCCGGTACTTTCTTACCGTCGACAGGCAATCCTGTTGTGGGATCAGTCTGTGCGATGAAAATATGATAACCATCTTCCCCTTCCCAAAATATAAGAGGGTATTGCAAGGCGTCATAAGATCTATGTATCTCAGATACTCTGTGTAACTGACCGTTTTGCTGCTCCAAGATAATATCTCGTTTGTTAAATTCTTCACCAGCTATGACGACTGCCACCCCATTTGCCACCGGCTCATTGAAGCGTCGTGCATGTTCTCCAGCAGCTGTTTTATCTGCACGGATAGCCACCTTGTATTGAGTCGGAGGCATTCTTTGAACGGCAAGCTTGAAGGATTTCACATAACTATTGTGCTCATGAACCATTTGCTGCAGTTTCTTGACAACATCTTCACGTACGCCAGGTAACTTTTTGCAACGTTGTTGTACTTGCTTGCTATCGTCACCCATAAAGTAAATTTGAAGAAATTTAGGTTCTTCATTCGAAGGTGGCAACAGAGATCCTATACGATGGTATGCTTGATCCTGAACTCTAAAGGTAGGCATGAAGCCTGTGCCAGCCACCTTTTCTGACGTGTCAAATGATGTCATTTGAAAGCAGGAGTTGTATTTTTTAATGATATCTAGGAAATACTTTGATTCAGACGGTTCTCCCAACATTAACGATTTCAATGGTTCAGGGGCAGCCGTAGTGGAAGTAATTTGACCTTGCCGTTAGAGCAGCACATACTTGCTGTTTCTCCACGTCACTTACACGCCTTGCAATTTGAACAAACATAAGTGATTTGTTCAATACACAGCTGCGGATGACTGTCGTAGCTTTTTGTTGGATCGTATTTGAACGCTTCCCCTTCCATAAATTTCCATTGTGCTGCTCTTGTAGCGGTCTGCCGTCTACATCGATTTTCACTTGGAGTTCTTCTCAGTTCCGCAGTTTCTTCTACTCATAAAACGGCATACCATGCTCAATCTTCATCACGTCGAGCTCGCCGCTCTTCTGGATTCTCGTCAGCTCTTGAAGCTGCTTGCCTTGCGCGCTGATCGACAAGCCGAGTGCTTGTCTCATCTGGATTTTCGGCAGTCCCAGAGGCTGCCATTCTTCTAGAATTTGATATACTTCTTCCCAGAGAAGTTCTTTTTGTTGGGTGGCTTAGTATAATACTTTACCTACTTTGATTTATTAATGAAAGACAATTAAAAAAAGACATCTATTTATATTGATGCAAAGCAGTGTAATATTTCCATATCGTCATCGTCGTGAGGCAAGAAAAACAACAAATTCGTTTTTTGTGAGTCACAGAAAGAAAATGGATGCATTATCATTATTTGTCATAATAAGACTCGTATACATTTTACTCTTTTAACCTATTAAAAATTAGAAATTAAAAACTTTTAGTTTTCATATTTAGACCAAAACATTCTTGATACAAAATGATATAAATAGAAGGTAGAAGATAGCGGACATAACCGCTACAAATCAAGATAGTTTGATATGCAACATGTGAAATGTTGTATATGAGCGCTCATACGTCCTTCGGCCGCCTTCACTACTAGTTTTTTTATCACTTTTTAAAATGCTGTAAACCTATTGGTCAGTTTCATAGATTGCCTGTAGAAAGCGTAGGATTCGTTTTTTTTCAAAATAAAGTACATGTCGATCTTCTCCTGCATGTAAACAACATTTCTGAAAAGTTTCATTGTATTTGCTCGTATGGTTACCAAATGCATAGCGAACAAACAGACAGACAAACTTTCTTCTTAATATATATAGATATATAGTTTAGCGTCTCTTCGTGTGGTGTCTTATTATTCTAATCAGACATTGCGCTTTTCCATCACACCACTATAATCTAATTCTAGTCAAGGGCTCTAATCTGTCTGCAATAAGAACTAAGATTAATCTAAAACTAAGGGAACGTAAATATGTGAAAAAGAAAGAATATATAAGCCTTTCTCTAAAATGGGGAAACGTCATATTCTGAATACGGCAGAATAAAGCCTATTAGCACACTGGATTTTTGGTAAGATAAATTTGAACGGAGTGTATTATGTTTCTGATTAATATCGTCTTGCACTGTGATCAATGAATGATGTTGGATTCTATAGAAACATAGATTTTAGATCTCATTGACATTGGATAGCATGATTTTTCTTATTTCATGCATACTATTTTCGTATATAAGTCAGCTTTTCAGATTATTAAAGTATAAAATTGTTTTAGAAAAAAAAGTGTACAATTCATAAAACTTTCCGCTGTGTATAATCGAATATACATTCAGGAAATTAATCTATTAGTTGAGATTAAAATATAAGATAAACTGTCATGCGTGGTTTATGACATTAACGATGGATTATTTATATAGAATCTCATCACTGCAAATATTTTCATACTAGTTGAATTTGATAATATATTATAGAAAGTGTAGTGTGGATAAGATACACTATCGTTTTCGAGAAAGGCCACGGTTAATATTATTTTTGGTACTTGTGACTCACAGTTTTTTGCTATAGAGTTCTTAAAAGTACTAACACTGACATAATAGGTATGAAATAACACAGAAAGTCATAAAGGCATCATTAATATCGTCGAGTCGAGTTAGCTCGACAAAATGCTCGACACGCCAAGCTTAACAGATTTCGCAGACCGGACCGCACTGGGCCGGTCGGTCCGTTTCGATCCCTAATAGAAAACCTGTTTTTTTAGAGTGTAGGTTTTCATTGATCCTCTTTTTATTGATTAACGATCTTCTTTGTATCTGCCAAAGAATTCTGTTGATGTATAAGATCTTAGGTACACTAAACTGATACAAAATGAATTAACGAACAATGCATCTTAAAAAGATGATTTAAATATGGACGGATCAATTTTCATCACTTAGTTTTGTTTTAATCTGTTTAGTCTATTTGGGACTTTAGTATAATGCGTTGTAAGGCTAAAACACAAGAATATGTCTCAATTGTGCACTTCTCCGTGTTTGAATTAATTGAGACTAGATGAGAATAGAGTGTTCTTAGATAAAAATAAATTCGTATTTCTACTGCGCCTATGAGTAGTTAAATGTTCATTCTTCGAATCTACTTTTTGTGAGAATAATGCAAATATTCAATAGTAATTGCATCGTTCTCGAGAAAGCTCTAACGAAAGCCGTTCTTCTTTGAATATAAATAATTACTCACATATCATTCAATATTAATATTAGTGAAATTTCAACAATTTACATTTTAGCCATTTAATTTTGTTATTCAAATAAATTGTTTTTGTCGCAGTTAGAGCTTTGGCAGAATACGTATTCCTGCACGTTTCACTATGAACTGGACAGACTGAAGTTTCGTAAAATTAGATGATGAAGCCAGAAGAAAACTTAATAATACGGTTAAACTTAGTTTTATAATCTTAGATGGAAGTCATATAACATAAGAAGATTTCTTTGAAACAAATAATACTATCCGGATATTTCTGTCAACTCTTTCATCATAAGAACGATAAAACATCGACTAGAAAAAAAATTATAGTAAATGGTGTATCATCCAGACAGTCAGAATAGTCAAACTGACGCATTATAACAAGCATTGTACGTTCTGTCTTTGAACGGATTTTGCAGATCTAGAAATGCCGAATTTTCGCATTTTAACAATCACATTTGTTTTACATCTCCTTTCTTTTTAATGACTGAGACGCGAAACGTTTAAACACATTTCTCATATGAACGCGTAATAATACTGAAACTCGGGCATTTCTGTCTGTTCAAAATAAGTTTATACAAAAATATTTTAACAGTTGTATCCTGCTACCATTTTATTCAGTTCACAAGTTTACTACATCAGGCTCTAATCATTGCTTCCATAGGAATCCTCAAAAAGTTTATCATAGAGTCCTTAAAAACTACTCACGAAGAAAGATCACTAAATGCTGAAACGCTTTTGTACTCTTACGCTGCACATAAAGTAGATTTCAGTAAGGGATGGAATATTCTATAAGGGATAAGTGTTCTTAGACGGTATTGTTGAGGGTTGTAGTTAGAAAGTCTAGAGGCACTTATCCTTTTGGAAATTTTCAAAGCTCACTGAGGTCTACTATATACACAGAGTTCGAACTCAAAACTGACTTGTCACTTGTGAACCTTCTCTTGTTAGATAAGTTCCACTTAGAGATTGAATTGAAATTGGGCCATTTTTGTGAATATCTAAGGATTTTGTCAATCTACAACAATTTATAGGGAATATTTATAGGAAGCAATCACTACGATAACCTGTAAATTCATAAATCCATAAGAAATTATACTCATCCTGTCCAAACAATTCGTGAAAAATTAACATTATGTCTCAGTCTTTTTAGTTCGTTTATTCTATTATAATCTTCTGATGTCTTTATTTCTTTCAGTCTCTTTATTCTTGAAGAGAAAAGTTTGAAGATATGAATTGCAAGTAATGCATACTCTCCTCTCAAAAGAAAGATGAAGATAAATAAAAAGAAGTAAATAGACTAAAAAGGAGTGATGGAACTGAATGATGATTTGATTTTTATATAATCTGTTCAACCAGAATAAATTTAATTTCTTGTGAATCTCTCAAATCGACTGTCTTTAATAGCAAAACTTAGTGACATCGTTCAGATATAATTATCAGCTTTTGCTAGTAGATTTAGGAGTCAACAGAAAGATTATTCATAATTTTGACATAGTTATATATTCTTCCACAATCTATTTAAATTGAGAATTCATTTATAAGTTACAACGACATGTCTTCGAAGAAAAGTTTTTTAAATTCACATGAAAATTGATCACAGAAATGGGATGCAATATGAGAATAAAAATTAACAGTCTATATTTATTTAATATAATCTGGTAATGCTATAAAGAAGAACTCAACTTCTCTCGTCATCAGTATTATCGTCTTCTTTTCGCTGCCATCATTAAATCAATCTAAAAATATAGTTAGTTGTTTTCTTCTCTTTTTTTAATATTAAGAGGTTTATTGTTCCTATAGTAGGCTAACAAGATAATTGTCGCAGTAGTATTTAACATAACAATAAAAGTAAAAATAAGCATAAGCATAAGCACAAGCATATGATAAGGAAGATGGTAGAAGGTAAGAAAATGTACTAATGAACATACAAATGATAACGATTACAGTTGAAGCGGCTATTTATATGCTTCATATATACATTTTTAATTTATTAATTTATTGTGACAATTATAAAATTAAGGAGAAAGGTCAAAATAATTAAGAATAGCCCATTCGAGAACACTAGAAGAGTTTTGAAAATTTGAAACTGTTGTTTTTGAATATGCAGAAAGATTAGACAATCTAGCTTCGTACTTTGTGCTCTTTCAGCTAATCTATTAGGAAATGAGAATGCTGACGACTTTCATAAAAAACAATACTGTTTTATTTTTAAAAGGTGAATTCCTAACAGCGAACAATTTTAAGTTTTTTTGAGAAAGCCGCAGGACTTGCAATATGTTAATGCCAGTGTTTTTTATATGAACATTAACATAAAACGATTACATAGTACTATTAATACGCATACAAAGTCCTACATCAAAATCGTTGTATCGGATTCTATGAAGGTTAATAATATTCCTGGATTTTTAAAGTAAATTCCGATATCATACTATGTTAGGCTTTTCATTCTGGGATATTAAAATAGTTTTTATTACTTCTAACAGAAAATAATGAGTCAACACTCTTAATACGAATTCCGTTCAGTTACAGAAGCGATTAGATGAAAAGTGATTAGAATATTGTTATCAAATATCATTTGACCATCCAGCTTTTACATTATAATTCACTAAGCTTTCATTATTCTAGCACCCGCATCAATTTGCACAAGCTCGTACTTGGCTTGGTGAAAGGATTCGATTCGATTCGATCCAGACAAGCCTCAAACAGCAATCTATAATATGCCTTTTGCTCATTCTCTACAACCTGGTCATATTTTATCTGTTAAACAACTTCATCAAGCTCTACAACTCATCGTTGACAAACATCTCTCACTTCATACATCACTTATCTTTGATGCAGAAATGCATCTACGCATGCAAAGAGTTATTACTCATGAAGATAAAAATAACAAGAATAATATGTTTTCAATCATCGAAACTACTTATGAAACACATGAACAACTTTATGAGATTTTACACGACGAGAAACGTAATCCTCATCTTTTTGATCTTGCTCAACGTCTCGTCTTTCGATATCATATTATTTATTACAAACAAATCTCTTCAAATCATCTTCTTTCTGACAAAGATCTAATTATTTTTAACTTTCATCTTGCTTTATTTGATATTCCATCAATGAAAGTGTTTCATCATGATCTCAATCAAGCATATACAACAGGTCAATTATTATATGATGACAACAATAATCTTCGTTATCTCGATTGTAAATATATATAGTTCTTCTACTTCACTCTTTTCTAATACATTGTTTTCTTTTATTATATAATAGATGCTGTTATTGAACAACAAATGTCAATGACTGGTGCAAGTATGTTTTGGCTTGATATTCTTCATGATTGTGAACTTGATCAATCTTTATCATTACCATTTGATCGATATCGTCTCTCAAATGAACATCAAACTTATCTTACAACATCGATTTCTATTGATTTTGGTCAAGATCTTTCACATGACTTTTTTATTCATGCATCATCAAATAATATATCACTGGAACAGCTTGCATTTGCTATTTATTTCATCTTTCTATTTAAATTAACTAATGGACAAACAGATCTATGTATTGCTATGAACATCAATCATCGATATAGAGATGAACTCAAATCAATCATTGGGCTGTTTGAGAATGTTATTCCATTGAGATGTCAACTAGTTCCTCACTGGTCATTTCATCAACTACGTAAATATGTCCACGAGACAGCAAAAAATATTATGAACTACTCTTATTTTCCACTGCAACGTATCCTCCAGCAATACCCAAAGGTTTCAAAACCTTCATTTCTTGATATATCATTCGAATGTATTTCCTCAATGACGAAGAATGACACGAATGAAATAATTCCTGATGATAGTCAACTTTCTTTAGTACCATTTTCATTGAAGATTGGCGAGAATGAAATAATGAGCAATTTTGATTTTATAGCTAGTTTTCAGCATAATCTGGATATCAATGAACTCTCATTTACAATTAATGGATCACTTGATTTGTTCAATACAGAAACTGTTATTAAGACTGCACAAAGATTCCATTCAATGATAAATCAACTATTCATATCTATGGATAGCCAAATAAATAAACCAATTTGTGAATTATCCTTGATATCACCCAGTGAACAACTTCCTTCACAATCTATGAACAACACACAAGTATCATTTTCATCTCCTCTCACTTGTATTCATCATGAGTTTGTATATCAAGTAATGAAATATCCACGAAAACTAGCAGTTGAACTAGATGAACAATCATTGACATATTGTGAACTCTTACATTATGTTCAAGTCTCATCTGTGACTCTTCTCAATGAATATCATGTGTTTCCAGGTGAGATCGTGTGTCAATGTGTTGAGAGAAGTTTGTCGATGGTAAGTTAATCAAGATGAGTGAAGATTGATGTAAATATGAGATTAATTGTTGACTAGGTAATTGGTATTATGGGAATTGAGATGGCTGGTGGTGTTTATTGTCCATTATCACCTCGAGATCCACAACATCGTTTGCATGCACTAGTAGAGTAAACTAAAAGTCGTCTTGTACTTGTTCATTATTTAACTATAACAAAATTCGAATCTGATAGTGTTACATTTGATATTGATTCAATATCAAAGTTAATAATATGGATAGTGATATGAATTGTAATTGCCTTTCAAGTGTGATAGTGCCAGGTGAAGAGATAGCCTATATTATTTTTACTAGTGGTTCATCTGGAATTCCGAAAGCGGTACGGGATACTTAATTTCTTAATTTCGTACTGATTTTCATATTCTCTGGTAGGTTCAAGTTCGACATAAGAACTTTATTGATTGTATGCATTCTTTGGCTTATATTAACGCATTTGATAAAGATGATACAGTTGTACAAATGATACGATGTTCATTTGACATTCATGTTTAAGAAATACGTGGTACATTGTTAGCTGGAGGTACATTGGTTATGGTTCATCCAGGTGGAACTATTGATTTCGATTATTTATCCAAACTGTTATAGAACAAACAGATCACATATCTACATACTGTCCCCAGTTTTCTACATAGTTTTTTCATTTTTATTGAGCAAAACAAGAACATAAACGCCGTAAAACACCTTCGATCACTTTGTAGTATCGGTAAGTAACCAGAACGATTCTCTTTTTTTGTCACAGTATGTTTCCACTATTCTAGGTGAAGCTTTTGTTGTTCATTTGATCGACTTGATCATGAAAACTGGCATAACGAACTGTACTGTGTGGAATTTATACGGACCTGCTGAAACAACTATTGTTTCTACCTCCTACAGAGTAGATTTAGTAGAGGATAAGCGAAGTATTTCAATTGGTAGATCAATTTCTAATTATCGATGTATGATTATGAATCAATATTTACAATCATCTGTTACCGACGACGAGGGCGAACTGTGTGTAGGTGGAGTAGGTGTATTTGCTGGTTATCTTGAACGTGATGATTTAACTGCAAAAGCTCTCGTTGAAATAGATGGTGAAATGTTCTATAGAACAGGTGACCTTGTTCGAATGCCTACCGACGGTCTTCTTAATTATATCGGAAGAAAAGACCATCAAGTGAAATACGCGGCCAACGTATTGAACTTGGTGAGATCGAACGATGTTTATTGAAAACATCTATTTCTGCTTGTGTTGTTGTCAAATGGAATGATGATCACTTAGTTGCTTATGTTCAAACTTCTGATATTGACGAAGTGCAACTACGAGAACATTGCCAATCACATTTACCACCTCATATGATTCCCTCACTCTTTGTTATCCTTGATAAACTACCATTGAATCCAAATGGTAAAATAGATCGAAAACTTCTTCCTCCACCTAATTTTGTATCAATGCATCTCACTAATCCTCATGAACTTTTGTTACTAGTGAATGAAACTGAAGTCATCGTTCATCATATTTAGTGTGATTTATTAAATCAAAAACAAATCTCAATTGATACAAATATCTTCACTCTTGGTGGTCATTCACTCATGATTATGCAGCTCTTCAACAGATATAAAATAGAGTTTCATCTTGAGACAAATGCTCTTTCTATTACTGATCTATTCCAACATCCAACCATCATCGATCATGCTCAACTCATTTATCAAACTATGAATGCGACAAACAATATCAATGACTATCATTGGTCTTCATTACATATCATGAAAGGTAAATCATAAGTTTTAATCATATCCTATAAACTATATTCAAAGTCTCTCTTGTAGCTAAAGCATCATTTGCCCAAGAACGTATTTTCTTAGATGAACAAATTCGATTTTCATCAACAGATAATAATACTAACATGTATGTTATTCCATTAAGTTATCGTATTTCATCTATAAATGATCATATATCCATTTCACGATTACATCATGCATTTCAATCTATCATAAGAAAATATCAAATTCTTCGAACAACACTCTCTCTTGATGCAAATGGCACTATTATACAACACTATTTAGATGCAAATGCTATTATCTATGATAACAAATCATCTGGACTTTTGATGGTTAATCTTCCCGATGAAGAACATGAACAGAATGAAATTGTAAAGGAGATTATAAATCAATCAGATTTATCTGATTTATCAAAAGAACATGTTATTAATTGTCATATTCTTCGTCATTGTGATCAATCAAATCATTCGTTCACTCAGAATAATGATGATCTATTGACTAAAGATGATCTCATATTATTTACCATTCATCATGCTTCCTTTGATGGAGCATCAAGATCAATCTTCATTGGTGATCTTTCTCTTGCTTATCAATCTAATGGTTTTCTTCCTACAGATGATAATTCATTACAATATATTGACTATTCTATTCATGAACACATAATGGATATGACATTGTCTCAAGAATTTTGGTTATTAGAACTCAAAGGATGTGATCTTACATGTCTGTTACCACTACCAATCGACCGACAACGTTCATCAACTGATCAACGATCAGGTGTAGCATCCATAGCTGAAATCAATTTTGATAATGAATTATGCACGTCATTTCTAAATTATGCATCATCACATCATCTCACACTTTTTCAACTTGGATTATCTATATTTTATGTCTTCCTATTCAAATTATCTCATGGTGAGACTGATCTTTGTATTGGTTCTATCAATGCTAATCGATATCGAAATGAATTAGTGAATATAATAGGAATGTTTGTATCAACATTACCATATCGTGTTGAACTTGATCCTCATTGGTTATTTGATGAAGTAGTTAAATATGTACAAGAAAAATGTTTATCAATTCTTGAACATTCTCATTATCCCCTACAACATACTCTTGCGGATTTACATCTCACTCAATCAAATGTATCATTTCTTGAAATAATGTTTGATTTTATTACTATATCAGAAGGTGTTAATGATTTATGTTTGAATGGTGTCAATCTAGAGCAAGTGTTATTAAAAGAATCATATGAAATGGCTAAATTTGATTTCTCGTAGAACTTTATATACAATTCATCATTAGATGATAATCACTTGTCTTGTTCTTTTGTTTGTTCAAGTGATTTATTTGATGAAACAACTGTTACAGTCATAAGTCGAAGATTCCAACATGTTTTAGAGCAACTCTTTTCATCGAAATCAAGTACATATTACATTGATTTATGTTACACATCTATATCAAAAGTTGATCTTATCCTACCAGTAGAAGTTAATGAACTCAAGGATATTATTTTTTGTCGACAATCAAGTGTTTTGAATGAAGGTATGTCTATTCACTGTTTTATGAAGTTGGATTCTTTTGAGGTTAATGTTAAAGTTGAAACCAAGACAATGTAGAAATATTTTTGCAATTATTCTGATGATATATCGACAAACGTTTAATTCGTGAGAAGCTTTCACTGTTCTTCTCTTATATTAGGAGTAGTAGTATGACGATATTATAAATATAAAGATAAACTCTGTCAAAGTTTACGATTCACTCAATTCTGCTTATTCCCAATACTAACATTAGCATGCCTAAGTTCAATCAAAATATCAAAGCATCGAAGGAAGAACAAAGTTTTTTTAGTACTTATCGTTTTACAGCTAAGAAGGATGATTGGAGTTGATTGTATAGGTAAATTTTTTGAATTTTATCTGTAACTATGCCTCTTCAAATACTCAAAATTAAATCCGACAAATTGACGTATGTCAATAACACTCAAAAAAATGATCATATATTTTTCTGATTCAAACAACATAATTCTTTCTCAATAATTTAATTATCATAGTCACTGTTTCTTTGTTATGAATAGTTCCTTAAAATACATGCTTGGTTCTATAATAAGTTTCAATCCATCTGATTTTATACATAATCATACATATTCCCTGCATATGTACACAACTACAATTTTGATCTGTCCATATAACGGATATCTTTCTAGGAAAAATAACATCATGTATTACTCCATATCCTTAGTAAATTTTCTCTTAAAATCGAGGAGAATAGTGATAGTCATACTGTGAAGTCATGTAGTGATGACATATTTGATTTTTGAATCCATTTTCGAAAGAATTATCACTCACTCTAGGATCAGTTTAATTTTATAGGAGAAGACAGAATTGTAGTATATGACGGATTTGTCGTGAAAAACATGAGTGCTTGGAGAGTCTTTTTGAAATCTTGGTAATCATTCTGACATATTTTTGAAGAATATTTTCTTTTAACGTATGTCTAGGATTTTACCTAAGCTACAATTTTTCTGTATAAAGTTACCTCATGAGAATTAGATAGAGGATGTTTTTCAGTTTGTTCTGCAGAACCCAAACTCAAGATTCATTTTTCGTGAATTTATCATGAGTAAATATTTGGATGACAAAACGGTAGAGAAAGCTTAGAGTTTGGTGAAACTATCAGGCTATAAAGTAACGTTTGATCTTCATAATTAAATATTAGTTCAATGTGGTTTCATGTCGCTAAGCTTTTGAAGATATAGAATAAGAACAAACGATTCTATGACATTTGAACGAGCGAGCTTTTCTCTTTAAATAAAACATGCGAGATAGTATATAAGCTGTATTCTCATAGAAACTAGCATAAACTATTTTTGCATGATCATGCAAGAGATAGAAGCTTCATGAAATATCACAATATTACATATGTATTCTTGTAGAGAGGTTAAATCTTGTCCAAAGTCTGTATGTCAGTGCAAAGAAAATGACTATCGGAAACTGATACTATAGTAGTTCTGGGTTGCTTTTCAAAGTTTTATTATTCCATAGAACTCATACTACTTCTTTCAAGAATTCAGCTATTTGTTATGTATATTTACTTATTTCTCATTAAAATCAATTCGTCTTTCTATGAACACGTTATTCTAACTGAAAAGATTCTTCCATTTCTTCTTAATTGATCAGTAATAGTTTGGACATAACTAAACAATTAGTAGTTTGTATCACTTAGAAAATCAATAAATAAAAACATTCCAGTGATGTTTTTGTATATTTATTTCAGAAAGGAAAAGGAAGAAAAGAAAAGGAAGAAAAGAAAAAGATTTTTTGAATCAAACAGTGTACAATAAGAAAATAAAATACTAATATGAGAATATCAAGCATCTGTGAAAACGAAGTAGAATTTCTATGACTTACAAAATCAAGGACTTACTGAATATCTCAAATTCAACGAATGAATAATAAAAGTTTTAAAATAATTTAGTTTGTTTGAAGTGGATATTCTACAAAACAGAATTTAAAGTTTATTTACATCGTAGTTTATAATTGAAATTTGAAGAACACTTTCATGTGCATTTAGAAAATTAGATAAATTATTGAATCCAAAGTTAAATATAGAGGAAACATTGACTGTGACTTACCTCTAGTAAAAAAGTAAATAACAGAAAAACAATCAGCTCGCATCTGTTTGTGGCAAAAGCTAGAGTACTACATGCATTCTAATATATGCATATGGGATGAGGCTATTATCTTACTGCGATAAGAATGCGAACGAGAAACTTTTATGTCAGTGATATTTACTATTCCAAACATAGTTTTATTATAGTGATTGATACTTGAAGTTTGTAAGAGAAGCGTTTTGCAGATCAAAAACTATATCTTATATGCTCATCTGTATATAAATATTTTTGTTGGTGTAGTTTCTCTAACTTTTGTATTGGCATCAAAGCTCAGAAGTACGTAATGTCTCTTGACCAACAGAAATCGATGCTCGTATTTATGTAAACAATGGAATTGAGGTTTCTTTTAAGTTCTTGAAAACATTAGAGAACCAATTAATTAATAAAATATATCCACGTCAGTTGTTTTATAGAAAATGTGTCGGAACGCCTGCAATGCTCATATTTACGTTTCAATTATTGTATTCTCTTTCCGATTATTCACGAAATAAAACTGTTGATGTTTAAATAGGTTTCGGTTAACGATTAATCTTCATTGAACTATCTGTTATGTTCAGAGCATTTGATTGCTTTAAGAAAATAGATAGTCTCTTAATATGGGCATAATTAAAAGAAAAGCGAGTCACTCTAAAATCGTTCATACTATGACAATAGTGAATACATTGATCTAAAGCCTAAAATATAATCAGTGGTCATCAACCATCAGCACTACACAGCGCTTTTATGTTTATATTCTCTTCTAATACATTGTAAAAAGTAAACGTAGAATAACGAAATTCTCACAAGCGTTTATTATTATGAAAAATCCTCCTGTTATTTCATAAACCCTTTTAACGTACATGATATTTTAACAGACTTTAATAGGATATATGAACTCTCACTAATCATTTAAAGAATTTATTTTACATTGCATTTTTATTAATTCTTATCCATTTCCAAAGATGATAGATTCTTCGAAGGCTGACTATCGTTTCTCACAAACTTTCGAACATTTATTATTTTTTAAATAGCTCCTTAAAGGTTTATTACCTGTAGCAATAGATAAACATTGATAAAACTGTAAAGACTGGAAAGAATTGATATGTCGTACAATAGTTTATGAAAATGTCATGTGCCCAACTAGAGCTTTTGAAAAAGATTTATGTAGGGCTCTTGAAAGTAGTAAACCTTTTTGTAGGGTCTATTATTCTACGCTTGTTTTTTTACACAGTATAAGCTATTATACACTTATTGGAATTCTTGGTAATCTAAAATTAATATATTGATTTTCACATATTACGAATAGTTTTGTGACCATATTACCTAATGAGCAATAAGTTTTATCTGAAACAAAACTTACAGATTAAGAAAATGCATATAATGATTGCAAACAAGATTCATATATCAAAGACTTGATTTAATAAAAAGTATTTTTGCTTACATAATTAAGATTTTGTAGTGGCACTGTGACATAAGGAGGCGTACCGCTTTTTAACAAAGCACAAACTATGCGTCTCTTAATTTGCATAACCTTCTCTACTGTATTTGATCGAAATAGAGTAAACTTAATATTATAAACAAAGAGCTCTCATAGCCGATCTCTCTATTTTAATTTCGGTTTAAATTATTACAATGTTCTCAGCATATTGTAAAGATGTTGATTTAAATATGCATGCAAGACACATTGCGTAAGTGAGAATACAATCGAAAACATAGATGAAACGTCTGAATTTTTACAAACATGTTCGAAACCTAAATAAAAAACAAAGATATAAAATAAATGAGCTCTAAAAATAGTATCCAATATACTATTGATCTTAGTTTATTGAATGTAAATCAATTTTCTGAAAGAAAAAAAATGCAAAAACAAGAAAAGATAGAAGTATATCTGTACGATAGTAATGAAACCATAAACCTCAACTGTAATACTTATCACCTGGGCTATAACTTAGAGCTTTCAAAAATAGAATGATAATAATAATACATTGAATGACAACCAATATTTTAGAAACTATCTAAGATAATGGATGGGCTCCTACATGTTAGATGCTATAGATATACTTCTGTTTTAAACCAACTATCTAAGATTATACAACAGTAAAATCTTTTTATCAGTAACTATTAACTTGTTATGTTTTCGATGTCTACGAAGAGAAATCCAAATTGAAATATATTTCGAGTTATCAATAAAATTTTATCTTTTATCTTTCTAACCGTAATAGTAATAGGATATTATTACTTGAGTTCTACATTAAACATAGGATTTAAATTTATTGATTATTTCTCAAAGTATTTTGAGACTTCATTTATATTCTGTCGAAAATTAGATAACTACTACTATCATTTGGACTCAAGTATCAATTATCTGAATTAGGAAAACTTTTTATTTCTTTTCTTTTAAAAATGATAATAATTAGTTGTTTATTCTAACTTGTAAGACTTCTTGTATTACAAAGAAAAAATATGTATAGCAGAAAATAATAAGATACACCAAGGCTTGACAATAATTCCAGTTTCATTTTTAAGTAATCATAAATAATTTCAGTGTCTAGGTTTAGTGTAGTGATAATACTCCAAGGTACTTTCCAAAAGTCTTTTTTTTACAGTTCTTCATATCGATTTAAACTTACACCTTACGTCAGCTAATCCGCTTTAATATACCAAGTACCAACCACACGGTTTAACTCCAATGAACATTTGCTGTTGAACCTGCTCATGATGTAAAATAAAAGCATTCTGATATTTCCTTAATAAATATTATTAGAAAATAGATACATATTACTGTAATTGGATTATAAAGGCTTAATATATTCTCTCTGTGATAAACGAAATGATTCTTATTTTGAGGGTGTGGATAGACTAATAAAATACTGATCCACATATTATCAGTATAATCATCCGTCGAATGAATCGATCAGTCCCATGAGAGACCTGAGTATAATCAAATAAGTATTTCGATGTCAGTGCGCATGCAAAGGTTTTGAAAGTTCTTTTTAATAATTCTGGTTTTCTTCCCGTTTTCGACATATTTTCAAAAAATAATCTACTATGAAAGTATATATTCTCATTTATCTAGTCGATAAGAATTTTTCATTCTATATTATCGTTTACTTCTCTGACCAAAGTCATATTTGTGTATAATTCAGTTAATTTTATTACAATAGTATCAGAAATCATACAATAAAAATTACGTCCTATATTATATCACCCAGTAGATTATATGTGAAATATTTTAAGATAGTGTGCATAGCCGAACTATATACAGCATGAATATAATCACGAGCTCATCTCTTCACCGACAACATTAGGTGCTCTCTCTAGGATCCTATACAAAACCGTTAAATAATGACTGAAACAATTTCTAAGTCGTTTTTAGAACCAACAGAAATTAGTGCCACTCGATAAAAACGTCTTTATTGTAGCACCAGCTTCATATGCTCAAATATGTTATTGGTTTCAAGAACAAACACGATTCGATCGAGAAAAAGAACAAATCAAAGTCTATAACATGCCTTTTATCTATCATCTCTCTTCAAATAATACTTTATCAGTTAAACAATTCCAGGATGCATTACATCAAATTATCAACAAACATGAATCACTTCATACATCACTCATCTACGATTCTAATAAAAATAGACTTATGCAAAGAGTTCTTATTCAACAACGTATAAATCATGACATGTTCACAATTACTGAAAGCACTTATGAAACACAGGAACAACTCCATGCTATCATCGAAAATGAGAAATACAATCCTCAACTTTTCGATCTTGCTCAAAGGTCTTGTCTTTCGATGTCATATTATTTACTACGAACAAATATCTTCAAACCACATCCTTTCGGACAAAGATACACTTATTTTCAATTTTCATCATGCTTTCTTTGATTATCCATCAATGGATATATTTCTTCACGATCTTGATCAAGCTTACAAAACAGGTCAACTCACAACTGATAATACTACTACTCTGCGTTATATCGATTGTAAGTATATTCAACTCCTTGTTCTAATTAAACTGCTTCTTTCTTCTTATTTAGATGCTGTTATCGAACAACAAATGTCGATGACTGGTGCAAGTATATTTTGGCTTGATACACTTTATGATTGTAAACTCGATCAACCTTTATCATTGCCATATGATCGATATCGTCTTATGAATGAATATCGAACTAATCGAGCAACATCGATCTCGTTTGATTTTGGTCAAGATCTTTCACATCAGTTTCTTCTCCATGCATTATCAAACAACATCAAACCTGAACATCTGGCACTTGCTACTTATTTTATCTTCTTATTTAAGTTAACAAATGGTGAAAAAGACTTATGCATTTCAATGAATATCGACAATCGTTATAGAGATGAATTAAAATCTATTATTGGACTGTTTAACAATGCTATTCCATTACGATGTCAATTAGATCCTCACTGGTCTTTTCATCGTCTGCTCGATTATGTTCGAGAGATAACAAGCAATAGTATGAAATATTCATATTTTCCACTACAGCATATTCTCAATCAGCATCCAAGTGTTTCACAACCTGCATTTCTTGATATATCATTTCAATTTCTATCATTTGTCACAAGAGCTGACAGCAAACTAATAATGATTGGAGATAGTCGACTTTCTTTCATACCTTCCACAATGAATATTAATGATAATGTGACTACAGATAAGTATGATTTCTCACTTCTAATCCAACATGATCTCAATATCAATCAACTCTCATGCACAATCAATGCATCACTTGATTTATTCAATGTAGAAACAATTGCTAAGATATCTCAACGTTTTCATTCAATCTTGAAACAATTATTTACATCTGTTGATGATCAAACGAACAAACCAATCTATGAACTGTCATTAACATTATCAAATGAACAATATCTAATGCAATCATTGAACAACACACAAGTATCATTTGCATCTCCTCTCACTTGTATTCATCATGAATTTGTATATCAAGTAATAAAGAATCCACAGAAACTAGTTGTTGAATTAGATGAACAATCATTAACATATTGTGAACTTCTATATTATGTTCAAGTCTTATCGTTAACTCTTCTTAATGAATATCGTATCACGCGAGGGGAAATCATTTGTCAATGTGTCGAGCGAAGTCTTTCGATGGTAAATATCTTTAGAAGATTTTTTCTTAAAACGGTGTCATGTGTAATGTGTTCCTCTTAGGTCATTGGTATATTGTCAATAGCTTTGGTTGGCGGTGCTTATTGTCCACTTTCATCAAGGGATCCTCCACAACGTCTGCAGGTTCTTGTCAATCAGGCTCATAGTCGGTTAGTCATGGTTCATTCAACTACAGCAGCCGTTTTCAGCTCCGGCATTCTGAGTTTTAATATTGACTCCGTTATTCACCTTGAAGATAGTTCTTATGAAATTAATTTAAACAAACTTTCAGATGTTCTTGTAACACCAGAAAATGTTGTCTTTGTAATTTTCACAAGTGGTTCAACTGGCATTCCAAAAGCCGTTAATATAATAACTGTTTCTTTTGATGTATTTTCTTACACTTTTTTCCTTAAAATAGGTTCAGTTACGCCATCGAAACTTCACTGAGTTTATGCACTCCTTTGTGTATACCGGTACAGTAACAAAGTTTGATACAATAATACAGATGGCTCGTTGTTCTTTTGACAATCATCTGCTAAGCTTAGTTGGTACATTGGCTATCGGAGCCACATTGGTGATGCTTCGACCAGAAGGCAATATGGATCTAGAATACCTTGTTAGTGTACTCGATCAAAAGCAGATCACAGTCATGCATGCAGTTCCGTCGCTTCTGACTAGTTTATTTAACTTTCTCACTACAAATAAGCGTCCAGCAGCAGTAAAATGGTTACGATCTCTATGCAGTGGAGGTTAGTAGTTGTTTACACAATCTCTAAATTATTAACGATATATTTGAATTCATTGGTTGTAGGAGAAGCTGTGAATATTAAACAAATTAGGCTATTTCAAAAGTCAGTTGAAAAGCGATGTCGAATTCAAAACCATTATGGTCCAGCTGAAATCACTATCAATTGTGCTTGTTATGTAATTGGTTTGACCAAAGATCAAACAAGCATTCCTGTTGGTCTCCTTCTACCCAACTATCAATGTTACATTTTGGACGAGTTTTCACAGTTTGTTTGCATTGGTCACGAAGGGGAACTGTCTGTGAGTGGTGTAGGTATCTTTGCTGGATATTTTTGCCGTGATGACTTGACAGCAAAAGCAATAACCAACATCAATGGGGAGATGTGGTATAAAACCGGTGATCTGGTTAGAATGGATAGCAATGGTCTTCTTCATTATCAAGGAAGAAAAGATTATCAGATCAAATTACATGGACAACGAATTGAACTTGGTGAAATCGAAAGATGTTTGCTTAACATTACTTCTATCTCTGCGTGTGTTGTCATGAAATGGAATGATGATTATTTAGTTGCATATGTTCAATCTTCTCATATCAATGAAGAACAACTACGTGAACATTCTCAATCTCATCTTCCACCACATATGATTCCATCTTCCTTTATTATTCTGGATAAACTATCTTTGAATGCAAACGGAAAAATAGATCGAAAACTTCTTCCATCACCTAACTTTTCATCAATGCATCTCACTATTCATCATGAGCTACTATTACCAACGAATGACAATGAAATCATCATTCATCATATTTGGTGCGATTTATTAAAACAAAAACAAATCTCGACTAACACGAATATCTTCAGTATCGGTGGTCATTCACTTGTCATTATGCAACTCTTTCATCAATATAAAACACAATTTCATCTAGAAATGAATTCTCTTTCTATTACTGATCTATTTCAACATCCAACAATCATCGATCATGCTCAACTTATTCAGCAAATCAAAAGTATCAAACAGGATAATCATGATTATCAGTGGCTTCCGCTACATATCGCCCAAGGTAAAACAACTTTTCATAGTTACTTCTAAAAACAATATTTTATTTTTTTCGTTTCAGCTCTAGCATCTTATGCTCAAGAAAGAATCTATTTAGATGAACAAATTCGATTTTCGTCAACAGATAACAATGCTAACATGTATGTTATTCCATTACTTTATCGAATTTCATCTATGAATGATCATATATCTATTTCACGATTACAACATGCATTTCAATCTATCATTACAAAACATCAAATTCTTCGAACAGTACTCTCTCTTGATGCAAATGGTATTATTATTCAACATTGTTTACATACAGATGCTATTATGAATGATAAGAACTTCTCTAGATTTTCGATAATTAATCTTCCTGATCAAGAACATAAACAGAATGAAATTGTGAAGAAGATTCTAAATCAATCAGATTTATTTGATTTATCAATAGGACATGTTGTTAATTGTCATGTTCTTCGTCGTGAACAATCAAACGATTTATTCACTCAGAATAATGATGATCTATTGACTAAAGATGATCTAATATTATTTACTATTCATCATGCAATGTTTGATGGAGCATCGACATCAATCTTGCTTCGTGATCTTTCTCTTGCTTATCAATCTGATGACTTGTTTTCTATAGATGACAATTCATTTCAATATATTGACTATTCTATTTATGAACACATAATGGATATGACATTATCTCAAGAGTTTTGGCAATTAGAACTCAAAGGATATAATCTTGTACGCCAGTTATCACTACCTGTTGATCGACTACGTTCATCAGCTGATCAACAACGATCAGGTTTAGCCTCTTCAGCTCAAATCACTTTTGATGATGAAATATGTGCATCATTTCTAAACTATGCATCATCACATCATCTCACACTTTTTCAACTTGGATTAGCCATATTTTATGTTTTCATATTCAAACTAACTCATGGTGAAACTGACTTATGTATTTCTTCGATTAATGCTAATCGATATCGAAGTGAATTAGTGAATATGATAGGAATGTTTGTATCAACATTACCATATCGTGTTGAACTTGATCCTCAGTGGTCATTTGATGAGGTAGTTAAATATGTCCAAGAAAAATGTTTATCAATTCTTGAACATTCTCATTATCCACTTCAATATATTCTTAGTGATTTGCATCTCACTCAATCAAATGTATCATTTCTTGAAACAATGTTCGATTTTATTACTTTATCAGAAGATGTTAGTGAATTATATTTGAATGGTGTCAACTTACAAGAAGTGTCGTTAAATGAATCATATGAAATGGCTAAATTTGACTTCTCATTAAACTTTATATATAATTCATCATCAGATGATAATCAGTTGTCTTGTTGTTTTGTTTGTTCAAAGGATTTATTTGATCAAAGAACGATTTTCACCTTAACTCAAAGATTTCAATATGTTTGTGAACAAGTGTTTCCATCAACGTCGATGGAAAAACTCTTCGATACATGTTGGACAACTATATCACGACTTGACCTTATATTATCGAATGAACTGGAAGAGATGCAAGATGTTGCGTTCTGCCGACAATCAAGTATTAAAAACCGGGGTAAGTTTTACTTGTCATATAAGTTTTTGTTCATGGGTGTTTTTATCTGAAGTACATATGTTTTTCAAAAGTATCGGTCATTTTATTACAAATATTTACCTGCTAAGTATTGTGAAAAGGAAAGTCTGCTGGATATGTGGCACTCAAAGTGTATTAATATCTTATGTCTTGGATTAAATTCATAGATGACTACAGAAAACATTTTTTTGTTGAGTTTATATGTGACGAGTAGACGCCTTTCATTACAACAGAATAGCGAATAATGTATTGAGGTATCAAAAACTCGTTTTTGCAATCTGATAGTATTCTAAAATTTGCTATTATAACCTAGGTTTTACTAGAAGACTTATAAATTAGAAAAGAATCTTGATTTGGATTTGGATATTTACTGTTTTATATTTAAATCCGATACATCTAGAGTTAGTTGAGAAGGCGGTGGTTTGTAACAATGATAAGTGTTATATTGGTAAGTCTTGATAATCTAATCCTAACACTCGTCATCAGTTTCTTGATATCCTGATAAATTAGATTCTGATGATCAATCGAGCTCATGTAAACATTAATTACGAGGAAATACATGGGAGTATGATGAGAGAACAAGAGAAGTACGGAAGTATGAGAGTGTCACTTTTTTCCTTTGGTACGATTACACCCTATCTCATTTTTTTCGATTTCTTCCAGCAAGAATGGGCCGAAAACCAACAGATGGCATGTCAAATGTTGAAAATTACACAGTTTTGACTGAAATTGCCCCCCCCCCCTACCCCCGTCATCATAACAATCTCAGATCCATCACTGACATAGATATCGATTTTGTGTGCTGATTTGGCTCAGTTAATTTAACAATACTATTTGAACTCCCCTAAACAGGATTTAATTTCAAATTTCTTCATACCTTTGAGTGGTGCGTTTAAGATAGACTTTACTTCGACAGTTATCTACATGAAAGCTTAAGAAATGCGTTCACACAATCTTTTATTATTTCTAAAGATATATAGATCGATAGAATGTGTTGAAAAGAAGCAGAGAGACAATATATAACAAGATAATACAAGCTTTTTAAATGAGCCATATAGTGATGTATTCCTAACGTACAATATATGCATGATGATTACCGTCAAAAGAGTTCCTTTAACTTATTGAGTGAAAGTCTCCAAAATATATATTTTCGGGCAAAAGTTTCCGTAACATACCTAAAACTAATGAATAAATCAGTATATATAAAACGAAGAAAGTTATAAAGTTCTTTGAAATTTGTCTAATTAATAGATGAGATGTTTCATAGTACTATTTAAGTTCATCAATGATTTTTAACTACACTCAAAAAGAATACACTTCAATGTATATAATTAACAAGTGATCTCTGGATATCATCCACATTATGAAATAGTTTTCTCTATTTTTCAAATGTTACATAGAACCATTCAGTATTTAACGATGATAATATCGAAACAGAACTATTTTAATATCAATTATGATCAAGAGAAGTTATAAAAACAGCTCATGAAGTCATTCATAAATCTTTTAGTTTATTAGATAGAAAAAATAACTAAGAACGTATAGAATATTTAACGTAGACATAGAAATACAGTTGTGCTTATAAGAATAAATTATGAAATAAAAACTCAAATTCACTTTTATTTCAGAAAAGAAAATATTTCAATCTTGATTCAAATCTTGATTCAAATCTTATATTAAATTTGATGACATAAGGATCCAATTGATTTTCTAGGTTACATGAAAATTACTCGGACAATTTGTTACTTATGTAAATTACATGGGTAATGGCATCTATTTTAATATCAGATAGCTTGTTACTTATTTTTAAATTTAAATCATTTCATCTAAAACACATCCATATAAGTTTCAGAGAAAAATTGCTTTTACCGATAAAAACAGTTTATCTAAGTTGCGCCTGAGAGCATCAGTCATTTGAGGTCTTAATTCCCACTAGTCATGATTCTAACACATATATACTAAAAAGATGTTTAGATCGATAATAAGTTCAGTCAAGCTTACTTAGTCGTACCTGTAGCATCTCTATGACTGAAATAATTAAAAATATTGTTAATATGTTTTTGGACAGTCGAAAAACAGGTTCTAAAATGTAAGTGGATAGTTGAATAATAGTACGTCCCGGATGTCATTCAGATGTTTTATACTTATGTATACAATGTTTTTTTTTACATATATGCTATCTATGATAACATACAGTGTGACATTATTCAGCATTAGTACAATAAAAACGCTTGCATGTTTCTGGATATAGAGATAATTTAAATTAAATATATTAGACCAAGTGAACATGATATCAAACATGAAAAGTTCTAAGCATTTTGATCTTGTTTCGAATATTCTCATATAATGAGTTATACTGTTTTCGACTAACTAATGAAATTTATCTTTGATAAGCTCAGCAATCATTATATTAATTAACGAAAAAAAGAGAACAACGGAACATTGAATCAAATCGCTGCGACCTGTGTTTATCTATCTAGTATTCTAGTTTAATTTTAGTCGATGCTTCATCCTTATAGCACCAGCATCATTTGCACAAGTTCATCTACTACTTGGTGAACAAACTTATTTCGATACTAATACACCACATATGGTTAATTACAACATGCCTTTTGTTTACTGTCTTCATGCCGAACATACATTATCGGTAAAGAAACTTTGGCACGCTCTTCAACTAGTCGTGACAAAACATCAATCACTTCATACATCATTTATCTTTGATATCGAAAAGAATCTATTGATGCAACAAGTTATTAGTTTGAACGATAATAACAATAAACAATTTATCTTTATCGAAAGTATTTATGAATCAGAAGAACAACTCAATAACATCGTGAAAAATGAGAAATGTAACCCTCAACTTTTCGATCTTGCTCAAGGTCTTGTCTTTCGATGTCATCTTGTTTATTACAAACAAACCTCTTCAAACAACATCCTTTCCGATAAAGATATGATTATCTTCAATTTTCATCATGCTATATTTGACTTTCCATCAATGAAAGTGTTTCTTCATGATCTGAATCATGCATATACAACAGGTCAAGGGGGAAAAAGCGGATCCTGGATCCCCGGATCCTCTGAATTTTTTGGATCCCAATGGATCCTAAGAGATTCTGATGGATCCTGTGGATCCTGTGGATCCTAGTGGATCCTGATAGATCCTTGTAGATCTTGATGGATCCTAGTGGATCCTGGTGGATCCTAGTGGATCCTGGTGGATCCTAAAAGAGGCCTACAATTATTGCCAACATTGTTTTTCCTCTTTATTTCTCTTATTATTTTTCGACTGGTTTTATAACGATGCTAGTTGACATACGCTAAGGTTCATTTCATAGTTGTCTCTAGTGTATACGCCTTCATAAAAACAAGTTTCTACGTATTTGAATGGTCAGAAATTAATACAAACGCACTTCATATGATTAAATCGACAGCTACAATTTAGAGAAAATTCAAAGCTATGCAGTATATCTAATTCTGAGTTGTAACATTTGATTGGATGAATAATATGAATATACTTAACGCGCGATGCAAATGTATCCGTACAAATGTCAAGACCTATTGTATATAAACGGAAAGTGCTAGAAGCCTAATTCTTTCACCCATAGATAGAGCAAAGTTTGTACTTTAAAATGTGTATTTCCAAAAAAATTTGGTGCGTACTTTAGACCTTCAAATTTTAAAACTTTTAATACCATTAAAAATGGCTTGTAACCAAGGTAAAATTTGGGATTTTTTTCATGCGTTCGATCTGTGTTAGTTTTAATGCTTTAAACTTGGATATAAATAGTCAGCGGCTTCGTAGCTTTAATACTGGAAAAGTTCATGCCAAATGGATCTGTTCCTGTCGAGTTTTAAAAGCGTTTGATTATGACCAAAATATGGCAAAATTGGGGCGAGATACTGTTTTTGCGCTCATTCTGTCTTCTGTTCTTCGTGAGCTGAATGCAATGTCTTATCCTAAAGTTTCATACAGATTTTTGTAGAGCTTGAAAAACCACATCTTTCAGACATTTTTAAGATTTGTGACGTTACAAATTTTAGAAGTTTATTGTCAAAAACTATACAATCTATCAGTTTCGTGTAAAATGCTAACTAGTGACTACCATGATAACGCAAAAATTAGAAAATATAGTGTCAGTTGAACTAGAATCTATAGTATAGAGTGTATAGACTTCTGTCTTCAAGTTTTAACTCACTCAACTCTTTCTTTAGCCCATATAATGTAAGTTAAAACAAGAAAAAGTTTCAAAAAAAACTAAAAAGTTACAAGCCATTTTTAATCGTATTAACAGTTTTAAAATTTGAAGGTCTAAAGTACGCACCAAATTTTTCTGGAAATACACATTTTAAAGTACAAACTTTGCTCTATCTATGGGTGAAAGAATTAGGCTTCTAGCACTTTCCGTTTATATACAATAGGTCTTGACATTTGTACGGATACATTTGCATCGCGCGTTATATGGAATACGAATATATTAGAGTCCATTTAAATACAAGTAACGCGCGTCGGAGCGACTCGCTGGACCCTCGACTGATAG